GGAAGGGGAGGAGGAGGCGGAGGAGGAGGAGGCGGAGGAGGAGGGAGGAGGAGGAGGCGGAGGAGGAGGAGGAGGAGGAGGAGGAGGAGGAGGAACCCCCTCCCCCTCCAACTCCTGGTGGTGGTGCAGGAAAGCAGGCCCATCACAGCAGCCAGCCGGGCCGCTCCCGGAGGCTCCGGCCGACGGGCGGCCTCCCCCGAGGCGCGTGCCGCCCCCGGCGCGGCCCCCGGACGACGGGCCGCCCGCGCCAGCGCAGCAGCTGTGCGGCAGCCCGGGCAGCCCGCGGGTCGTGCCGCCCACCCGGGTTCGGGGGGCCTCAATCTGGACGCCCGAAATTCAGAGCCCCGAATCATCAGGGGTAATTCGGGTCAGGGATAACTCGGGTTCGTTTTTCGGGATTCCGAACCCGAGTTACCCCGGACCCGAGTTACCCCAGATAACTCGGGCGTCCAGAGCCCCACATCATCAGGAGTAACTCGGATCAGGGCTAACTCGGGTTCCTTTTTTCGGGAATCCAAACCCGAGTTACCCCGGACCCGAGTTACCCCGGATAACTCGGGCGCCCAAGAAATGGGTACGGAAAGAATGGGTACGATGCCCAACAGCAGTTCCTGTTCGTTTTGAACAGGAGCCGCTGCCCACGCCATCGCGGCCTCTGTCCACTTGAGACAGAAGGCCGCTTGCCCAACAGCGGCCGCTGCTGGTTTGGGACAACATTTGTTGTTGGGCATTGTACCCATTCTTTCCGTACCCATTTCGGGCGTCTAAACTCAAGCAGCGGCGAAGCGCCCCGGCGTGCCTACACAAGGGCGCCCTCGAGGGCGCGATGTGGTTCGCGCTCCGCGGTTCGGCTCCGGTTCCTCCTCGTCCTCCTCTTCTCCCCTGGGAGGCGGCACGAGAGCGCGAAGTTATTCGCACTTCGCGCTTCGCGCAGCGCGAAGCGCGAAGTTGGGAGCCCTTGCTATAGGCCTACTAAAAGATGTTCGAAGAACCCTTTGTGGTTTCCACGAAATGTTCTCAGAACACTTCTGGCTGCGGCTGTCTTGTTTTAGCACCACGGGTTTATGTTCTAAGAACATCGTTTGGGTTATTAAAACATATTGGGGTTCTAAGAACATTTCGTGGTAGGATTGCAGGAATGCTGGGGCGGCCGGTCCCTGCTCAAAGGAGGGAAACCGGAAGTCGAGCATGTCCCTCTACAGAAGGAAAATTCGAGAACAGGCAAACATAGTCTGGTGACGAGTTTTCGTGCTCTTCTGGCTCTTTTTGTTATTTTTCTTGAGTTATTTCTCATATGTATTCCAACATTCGGCTGTAGGAAGGCATGCACGACCTAAAGGAAATCACGAGCGCCGAGCATGACCGTATCCGCGCTCTCGCGGTTTGGGTCCTGCGGCGCGGTCCCGCGGATACGCGGTCGCACGGGTGCGTTCCGCGGGGGCGCGGGGTGGGACGTCCGCGAAGAAAACCGCCTCGTATTCCATGGCGTCGCGGCCCAGGGGCCCGGCCCGCGAGGCCAGGAATACGGATGTGTTTTTTCGCCCGCGAGGAATAGCTGCCGATACCGCTCGAGGTCCCTCGTCGCCACGGCTGGATTCGTTTCGGAATCGTGCTCAGAACTCTCCCGGGGACAGGGCCGTGGAGTAGCGGTGCGAATACTTGCCTGTCTCCCAAGGTGGCTTCGCGGTTTGTGATGCCGCCGCCTCCGCGGCCTCCGCCTCCGCGGCCTCCGCTTCCGCAGTGCCAGCTGTCCGCGGAGGAGGCGGAGGAGGACCAGCGGGCGGCGTCGGTGGGCACGCTCTCCAAGGCCTGGCCGGCCCGCCGGCTGCGCAGAGTCACTCTTGGGGGGCAGCCCTGCTCTGTTTGCAAAGTCTGCGAGCGATGTTCGTGCACGAGGTGGGGCGGGGCCATGCTGGAAAGCGTGATTCATGACCTGGCTTGCTTGTTCGTTCGGTTTGTCAGAGTTCTTCTGCGTATCGTTTTGCCGATCGGCGTGGGGCCCTGGATCCACCCCACTAGAGACCGATTTGGGGGACTGCCCTTAACCAGGTTGTGTGAGCACCAGAGCACCCCCCCACCCCTATGAGTGGGGACGGAAATCGCAGATTGGCGCAGTCGTTTTGGACGCCCCAGTGAAAAATAATGCGAGGGCTCCAGGGCGCTGGACGCGCTCCGAACGAAGCATATCCCTGCGCCCCTGCCTTCCCCGAGCCCCCTGAATGGAGGATCCTGCTTACGGCTCCCTGCGGACTCCCTCCAGGCCCATGCCCAGTCTCGCTTATCCCGCGCGCCCGATCATACTCCTGCACACGCTTTGGATGCCAGCCTTTGTTCACACATAGCCCTCCACACTATTGCTCAATCCCTGGCCACTTCTGCGCTGCCCATGCGTTGTCCTTCCCAGTCCCTATGGCCCCTTGAGCAGTCGGGCGCCGTCCCTGTACATTCGCGCGCGCTTCCTCAACAATGCTGTACGCTACACGCCCGCATAGTCCTACGCGTTCCTGCCTCCTGTTTGACACTCCTATCCAGTTCCAAATTTATCTTCCCCCCGCGTTATTTTACATTATTGCGAGCTCCGACGCATTCCTGCACAGTTCTTGCTTGCTCTTGCGCAGTCCCTGCCTCACTCCTACGCCATCGTCACGCTCTGGTGGACCCCCCAGCGCAATCGTGTGCTGCCCGTGCAAACTCGTGCGCCACCGCTGCGCACCTCACCACACTCCTGCACACTCCTGCGTACCTCGTGCTTGTCTCTGCACAGATTTGCACAGCCCCAGCACGGTCCTTGCAAACTCCCGTGCGGCCCTGCGCTTCTCTGCACGTTCCCTGCGCAGTCTCACGGACGGTCCCAGCAGCGCAGCACGGCTCTACACAATCGTTTTCAGTTGTTGCACATAAGGATTTATGGATGGAGGGAAGAGGAGGGCATAAGTCCGTACATCAGCATGGCGGGGTGCAAGGATGAGGGGAGGAGGAGACAGATAAGCAGGAATGAGCAGGAGGACAATTGATGAGAGGCAGGTGGGAGGATGAGGGAGGACGAGGGAGGAGGGGGGGGGTGAGGTCAGGGGCAAGATTGAATGAGGAGGGTGGCGTGGAAGGATTAGGGCTGTAGGAGGGAAAGGGGTGGAAGGAGCAGGATAGGACGACGGCGGGAGAAGTGTGGAGTGAGGCGGCCGAGGGCAGAATTCAATGGCATTCGGTGGGAAGGGCGGGATGCAAGGGGCAGCGAAGGAGGCGATAACGGAGGAGAAGGACGACAGGGAGGAGAGGCGGGGAGGGAGAGCTGGAGGACAGCTGCGGAGAGGAGGCGGCGCGCGGCTCGAGGACTTCGCCTTCCCCGATCCTGCTCGGCCCATGTGACACCGACAAACACGCAAGCAGCGAGTTGCTGCACTCCTCTCCGCGAAACGGCCGCGGAGCTGCCTCTGGACCCGACGGCCACGCCGCCGCAGCTCCAAGAGAACTTCTTTCGGTGCTGAGCAGAGATCGGTCCCCCCTGCCCTCCGGGTGGCGTCTGAGCCGTCACCGAGGCATCGCAGGTTTGGCGGGATCCACAAGGTTCATGTTGCTCCCGTCGTCCTTAAGGACCACATCCCAGGAACAATTTCGAGCACCCGGAAAAGTGTCGAACAGCTGTCGAAACAGTGTCGAAAGAGTGTCTCCCTGGGCCCGACACGTGAAGACCCCCAAGTTTCGGTATTTCCTTGGTGCTCGAAATTCTTTCTGATGATCGAAGAAAGGGGCTCTGCTCTGAGGCAGGGGGCGACGCTGGGCTGGGTGGCTTATCCAGTCCATCCCAGCCTCCTCCTCCTCCTCCTCCTCCTCCACCTCCTCCTCCTCCTCCTCCTCCTCCTCCTCCTTCCTCCTCCTCCTCCTCCTCCTCCTCCTCCTCCTCCTCCTCCTCCTCCTCCTCCTCCTCCTCCTCCTCCTCCTCCTCCCCCTCTTAAGCTCCTCCTAAACCCTCGCGGCGGGGGCCGCATGCGAACTTTCTTGCTGGGGTTTCCGGTGGAGCTCCCTGGTGGCCGCGGAGCGCTGTTTTGGGTGGGTGAGACGCATATGGGCCCTGCCACTGGTGCCTTCGGTGGAGCTCCCCCTGCGCCACCAAACGCTGTACTGGGTATGGGAGACACATGTTGACCCTGCCACGGGGGCCTTCGGCGGAGCTCCCTCTGGGCCGCGAAACGTTGTATTGGGTGGGGGAGAGATGCACGTGGACCCTGCAACTGGCGCCTTCGGTGGAGTTGCCCAAGGGCCACGAAACGCGTGAGCGGTGTACCGAACGGAGGGGGGAGGAGGAGAGGAGAAGAGGAGAGCATGAGGACGCGGGGTGCGGTCTTTTCATAACGGGGACCCAACACCACAGGATGGTTGGCACAACAGGTATTCCTCTGATCCTCCGCGTCCTTCGCACCTGGGCGGGGTGGTGCGCGAACTCCCGATACTTTGGATCACGTATGCATAACTGCACTGGGGCAAGGGGGGCCCCTGGCTCAGAAGTGAGACGTTCCAGATGCGGCCTCGCCCTCGAGGGTCGCAGGAGCTGGGGCGCCCCCTCCTCGGGCGACGCCCGCGGAAGGTCGGCGGAAGCAGAGCGGGGGCCGGCGGAAGCCGGCGGAGGCAAAAAGCCGTCCCCCAAGAGACTCGGGTCGGGCGAAAGGGGGGGATTGGGAAAGGGGGGGTTACGAAATTTGCTGCGTGCAGCTGGTTTCGGCCTCACCGAGGGGCCCATTCCTCGATACATGGCCGCCTCTGGCGCCGGGAGGCGCCGGGAAAATCATCTCCGTGAGCTGATTCTCAAACCCCCCCTTTGCTATCCCCCCCTTTCGCCCGACCCGATCCAAGGTCCGCGCGAGGATCGCGCGGGGGAGGCCGAGCTGCGCGCGCGAGGCCGTGGCGAGAGGCCAGGGCGCGGGCCGCGCGGCGAGCGGGCGAGCCGAGGGCGGCGGGCGCCGTCCTCGTCGTCCTCCTCGTCCTGCCTCGCCGTCCTCGTCCGCAGCCGCTTCGGCCGCAGGACGTATCGCGCCTCCCTCGTACACCCTCGGCGATGCTTAAGAATACTTAAGTTTTCGGCCAGAGTCTCGATTATTCTTAATGCTTCAATGTAAATCCCAAGATTTTAATTAAAGTTCTGGTTTTTTATTCAGATTCTGAGATTATGAATTTCTTAATCCATGATTTCTTAAGCATTTCGCAGGGTGTAGGCGGCGAGCCCGTGGGGGAAGTGAGAAGGGGCGGGCCTTCTCAGAAGGCTCTGAAGTCCCCTGGCCATCTGAGAGGTTTTCTGCCCCTTCCCTGGAGATGCGGAGAACTGCTCAGAAGGGCCGGGCGGCTTCTGAGGAGCCCCGCCGCCTTCTGAGAAGGCCTCCTCCCTCTCAATTACCCCCTCACTCGCCGCCGATTTATTCCACTCTACCTGCCCGCGGGCACCCCGACGAGGCCGGGCAGCGATGGGCGCCAACAAAGTCGTGCAGAAGTCGAAGGAGGCCAAGATGAAGGCCGCAATGGCGGGAGGCAAGTCCAAGAAAAAGAAGTGGAGCAAGGGCAAGGTCAAGGAGAAGCTCGCCAACCTGGTCATGTTCGACCAGGCCACGTACGACAAGATGCTGAAGGAGATTCCAAAGGCGAAGCTGATCACCACGGCCATTGTCAGCGAGAGGCTGAAGGTCAACGGGTCGGTCGCTCGCCAGGCCATCCGCCACCTGGAGGAGAAGGACCTGATCCAGGTGGGGAGCTCCAGCAGTGGCCTCGCCTTCGGGGCGTCTCGCCTTCAGCGGAAGGCGGCGGCAGGCCAGCGGAAGCAGCACAGGGGGCGGGAAGGCCGCGGTAGGTCCGCGAAAGGGCTGCGGGTGCAAGTGTGAGGTGTTAACATGTTTGGGTTCGGGGCTTCCAGAATCGCCCAGGTGGTGGGCGAGAGGACCGGGTCGGACGAACAAGGAGGATATGAAAACGGGGGGGGGGTACGACATCTGCTGCGTGCATTTCGTCTCGGGCCCGCCGCCTGGCGCCTTTCTTCGATACATGGGCGATCCCTGGCGCCGGAAAGCGCCGGGAAAGCGGGCGATCTGAGCTGATTCGCGAACCCCTTTTTGACAAACCCTTCCGATATGGGATTTTTGATATGAAATCTTCGATTTTCTTTTCTAGACACCCTCCGATCTGGGATCTTCGATCCGCGGTCCCAGAGCTCCCGACCCCTTCCCCAGGGGCTTTTTTGCGCCCTGGATGCGTTTTGGATGGTCCCTGGGCTCGAAGTCGGCCCCCGGAAGGCCGAAATCGATGGAAAAGCTCCTGGCTGAAGAAATCAGATCCGCGGAGCTCTCGGCGTCGTCTGGCCCGAGAGGATTTGACATCGCTCGGACGTGTGCATGCCTCTTCTGGCGGGGACCTTCGGGGAGCATCCTGGATCATCGAGCACAACAAAAAGCGCGCGAAACCGACAAGCGCACGGGGACCGGCCGTCCGCGCCATGGCAAGCGAGGAGCTCCTGGGAGCGGCGTCCTTCCCGTTTTCTCTCCTGCTTGTGGCTCAATCGGCCGAGGAGGAGGAGGAGGAGGAGGAGGAGGAGGAGGAGGAGGAGGAGGAGGAGGACGTCCGAGAGGAGCTCCAGCATGCTGATCTACACGCGCAAGATCGGCGCTGGCGACTGACGCGCTCCTCGGCGGGGGGCATGGCGGGCCGCACCCGGCTCCCGGTCGCGGGCTGCAGGCCGGCGTGGCGAAGGCGAAGGCGTAGCTCTCTCAGTCTTCCGCTCGGTGCTCGCGGCCCTCGTCCTCATCGTCATGCTGCTCCTCGCCATCAGGTGCCGTCGATGATATTGCTCACCCGCCGCCTCCTCTTCCTCCTCCTCCTCCTCTTCCTCTTCCTCCTCCTCCTCCTCTTCTCCTCCTCCTCCTCCCTCTCCTCCTCCCCGTCCTCCTCCTCCTCCTCCTCCTCCTCTTCCTCCTCCTCCTCCTCCTTCTCCTTGTCCTCCTCCTCCTCCTCCTCCTCCTCCTCCTCCTCCTCTTCCCCCTCCTGCTCCCCCTTCTGCTCCTCCTCTTTCTCCTCCTCTTCCTCCTCCTCCTCCTCCTCCTCCTTCTCCTTCTCTTCCTCCTATGTACGCAGGTCCCCCTTTTTCCGATTGCGCTTTACACGGTGTGTTGTTGTTGTTGTTGTTGTTGCTGCTGATGCTTCTGCTGCTGCTGTTGTTGCTGTTGTTGCTGAATTTTCATTTCTCAAGAATAATTATTGTTAATCCCCCCTCACCGGTGCATATTGTTTGTTCTCAATCAAAGTGTGCCCCTTGACGCTCGCACCCTGTTTTTTGGCAGGGGAAGCCGTGGTGCTCGAGAAAGAGGGCCCACGCCATGCCTCCGCCCGGGTTGCCCATACGCCGCGCATAGTGATCCGAAGCAGCTCTGGAAGCCCGGCTACTGCTGCGATAACGTGCGGAGGCAGGCACCTGGGTGACGATTGGGCAGATGGAGGGATTAACCATTACAAGTACTGCGAGAAGTTCCCCCGCGGCCAGGAGACGGGTGCCCAGCCCCCCCGGGAGAGCGGAGGCAGACGGGGCGAGAAGCAGAAGAAGAAGAAGAAGAAGAAGGAAAAAAAGAAGAAGAAACAGGGCGGCGCAGCGCCGCCGAGGGCGCCCATGTCCAGTCCTCCGTCTGGCAGCTTCGGCTGGAGCGGGGCCGCCTTTCCAGCAGGGCGCGGCGGACCACGAGGACTCGTCGGGCAGCGGGAGGCCTTCCACCGAGTGAACGCCGCTGTCCCCCACCGAGAAGGATGAAGCGTGCTGAAGCGGACCTGGCGAAAGCAGAGGCAGGGGCAGCCAGGAGGGCAGCCCACAAGAACAAGGGGCGCGCGGCATCGGAGGGGCCGCATGTTCGCCTGCGGGTGAGGATGCTGCCACAGGAGGTCAAGGGGGAACCGCAGTCGGAGGGTGAAGGCATCAAGCGCCTGGGCCGAGCTGCGCTGGGCCGCGAGCGCAGAGGCCTGGTGGAGCGGGTCGCCAGTGGGGGCGAAGACGGCGCAGCAGCAGCCGCGGCGCCGCGCGGACCCAGGCGCGGAACCAGCGCACGGGAGGGGGAGCCGCGGAGGTCGAGGTCCTTGGAGAGGGGCAGACGCAGCGCAGATGCTAGGAAGGAGGCTAGCTCCGCCCCGCCACAGTCCACGAGGGGGCGGGGAGCCGCCCCCGCGGAGAGGCAACCTCTTCCCATGCCGGGGCCCAGGAGGGCCGTCGAGCTCCGCAGCCAGCCGCGAGGAGAGCTCGCCACATTCGAGGACTGAGGAGGTGGCAGAGGATCGACGCCAGGTTCGACGGACTCAAGGCCAGGAAACGGCGCCAAGGCAGCCAGCTCCAGACGGACAACGAAGCCCGTATGGCATGTATGGCGGCGCTGAGAGCGCGGGCCATCATGATCCAGCGCGACGAGGACGAGGAGGCCGAGGAAGCCCGTAGGAAGGAAGCGAGGCGCAGGATGGCGGAGCACCTCGAGGAGCTGCACCGGCCCGGAGGTCGTCGCCCTCGGGAGAGGCGCCAGAGTGAGCCAGACTTGGAAGGCATCGACCCTGAGGCGGTGGCCCGCTACCTCCAGGATGCCCGAGGCACGGGCGGCGCCGGCCAGAGTCCGGAAGGACTCAGGCTTCACCTAGAGCCATTCGCACGAGCAGCTGAGCGAGGCCAGGGTTCCGACGGCAGCGGGAGACGCGCCAGGCGCGAGGAGGACAGCCGCAGGAGCGGATGCCTAGAGCAGAATGAGGCCAGGAATCAGCTGGACGCGATGGTCCAGACGTGGGGGTACCCCGACCAGAGGGGCGGATGGCTCGACTGGGCTCTGGCAGCGCAGTGCTCGGGAGAGGCCGTGGACTGGAAGGCAGGCGCCAACGCCCAGAGGAAAAAAAAACGCAAGGGCAAGAGCGTGGACCCGGTCGAGAACAGGCCACCCAATTTGCTGGGGCCCGAAACGGTCAGGGAGAACGCTAGGCCGGACGATCTGACACTGACGGACCTCAAGACGCGCGAGGACTGGGAGAAAGCCAAGTTGGAGCTCATCCTGGACAAGCTGGCTAGCTCCACCATCAAGTCCTACAGCCTAGGCTGGAGGTGGTGGTCCCTGTTCTGTCGGGCGAGGGGCATTAGCCCCTTCAGGGAGGTCACGCCCACGAGCCGAAGGGAAGAGGAGGAGCTGATGCTGGAGTTCGTCGCGCACCTGTCGAGGCGAGGGTACAGGAAAGCGGGCACCATCAAGCAGTGCCTGAGTGCCGTCTGGGCCCAGCACCTTACCCTCGGCCTGGGCGATCTCACAGCTGTCGCGGGCAGGCCCTGGAAGGCGATCGACGGGCTGAGGAGGCGCGACGGCGACGCCAAGCGGAAGAAGCCGGTCACGCCCAGGATGACGAGGTGGATCCGGAAGAAGCTGCAGCCGGACAGGTCACGCGAGGGCGCAGCCCTATGGGCTGCGGTCGCCACGGGCTACTTCTTCCTGCCGAGGGCCAGCGAGTACGTGTCGGGCGACCAGAATGGCTACACCAGTGGCAAGGGCCTAAGGGGCGTGGACGTCACGCCGAAAGCAGCGGGCGAACCGACGAGGAGCTGGCCCGAGGCAAATGAGGTCGTCATCAAGATACGGGCCAGCAAGACGGACCAGTACAGTCGCGGGGAATGGCGCAACCACTTCAGGGTCGAAGCAGCACCAGGCACGGCGGACGACGAGCACATCTGCGCGGTGGAAGCGTTGACGATATATAAAGGGTGGGCGCGCGAGAGTTTCCCCGGAGCGCGGTCGTGCGACCCGCTCTTCGCTTACGACGACATGCGGCTCGTCACGAGGGTTGATGTCCAACGCGTGGTGATGCAGTCGGCCGTGGCGGGGGGGTCGACCCGAATGACTTGGGCTCCGACAGCCTGAGGATCGGGGGGGCGTCAGCGCTCAACGCGGCGTTCAAGGACACAGCGCTGGCGCAGCGCTGGGGGCGGTGGAACAGCGACGCCTTCCAGGGCTATTTGTGGGGGGCGAGGGCCATGCGCAGGGCGTAGCTAGCAGCATGGCGGCCGCGGACCTGACCATGGTATGAGGAGCGCATGAGGCGGCCGCGCTGGGCAGCATGTGAAGAAGGCACAGACCAGCGCAAGAGTGCTGGGCAGTGGGTGCCAGGACCTTTGTGGGCCCCGCAAACGGCAGGGCCGTTTTTTCACCTTTTCTTGAAAAATGCCACTTGAAATTGGAGACGGCAAAAAAAACGACGACCGGAAACGGTAAAAAAAAACAGCTCCAGGATTGGAACCAGAGCCAGAACCGGTCAAACAACGGCGACGGAACCGGTAAACAAACGGCGTCGGAACCGGTAAAAAAACGGCAAAACGGAACCGGTAAAAAAAACGGCCTGTCGTTTCCAGGGCCCGCTAAGGCCAGGACCCCCCTCCAGTTCGGGCGGGGGCCCTCGAGGTGGGCCCCGCGGCTCGAGGCGCGCACGGTGTCGGGAGCACAGAGGGGTTTCAGCGGCGAGACGCGCCGCAGAGCTCGCGCCCTCCCGTTGGGGGGCGCCACAGGCCGCTCGAGATGGTGGCCCCCTCCTTCTCCGCCTCCATCGTCGTTAGCGTCAGCGTCCGAGGATTGTGAGGAGGTGCGAGGAGAAGGAGGAGGAGGAGGAGGAGGAGGAGGAGGAGGAGGAGGAGGAAGAGGAGGAGGAGGAGGAGGAGGAGGAGGAGTAGGAGTAGGAGGAGGAGGAGGAGGAGGGAGGGAGGAGGAGGAGGAGGAGGAGGAGGAGGAGGAGGAGGCGGAGGCGGCCTGATGGACGTGGGCCCAAGGGGGCCCTGTCGCGCCCGATCCGCCTGCGTCCTGGAGGCGTGGAGCGGAGAGGAAACATTGACGTTCGCGAGAACAGTGGGTTTCCTCGCAATTCGTTGCTTCCCTCTCCTTGCCTTTGGCTCAAGGCCGCTTGCGGCCTCTGCACCATCTTTTTTGGAGGTCCCGCCAACCCACACCATAATAAAGCGGTCGGTGGGGCCTCCCGCCGAGTTTGCTCGGCCTGCGCTTGCCGCTTCGCGGTCGGCGCACGCATCGGCCCCCATCTCACCGTGAGGGGGTCTCTCCCCCCCCCCTGGCGCTACAGCGTTCCAGGCGGGGGGGGGTCAGCGGCGAGACGCGCCGCAGAGCTCGCGCCCTCCCCTTGCGGGGCGCCACAGGCCGCTCGAGATGATGGCCTCCTCGTCCTCCACCTTCATCGTCGTCAGCGTCAGCATCTGAGGAGCGTGAGGAGGTGTGAAGAGGAGGAGGAGGAGGAGGAGGAGGAGGAGGAGGAGGAGGAGGAGGAGGAGGAGGAGGCGGTCTGAGGGACGTGGGCCCAAGGGGGCCCTGTCGCGCCCGATCCGCCTGTGTCCAGGAGGCGTAGAGCGGAGAGGAAACTGGGTGGCGCTGAGCGCTCTGCGCCGTCCTCCTCACTGCTCAAGCGTTTGCGTCGGGCCTGCCGTGGGAACCTCGTGCTGTGATTTCTGGCGTCCCTCCTCGTGGTCTTGTCCTCTCGCCTTCCGCCGGCTTCCTTGCTGGTGTGCGCAGCTGCTCGCGAGGGCCCACCGTGCGGGTGCCGTCCAAGGGGGCTGGTCTGCGCACGCGCAAGTGCACGGCTACATCATACCCTCGTTGGATGCTCTTTACCTCTGCTCCGTGCTTCCTCGCCTCTCTTCGCTCGTGCTCCTCCTCCCTATTCCGGCTGCCGTTGTGTGGATTCTAGAAATGGCCGGTTGGGCCACGGGGTCCTGCCCACAACGCCTTTTTTTTTGTCCCAGCCCACGCCATCCTCCGCTTTGCTGTTTGCTCCTGTTGCACACATCCTCGGCGGCGCGCTTCATGAGGAACCGCGGGCATCAGGCTTGCTTAGCGCTGTCGTGTGTAGGGGCAAGTTGCAGCGGCAGTCCGAATACTTCCGTGGTGCTGGCTGAGGCGTGACTTCACGTGGGGCTGTGATCCATGAAAAAACCCTCTCAGACGCCTCCCTCTCGGACGCCCCCGACACGCACGTCACAGATCGGTGAACGTGTCCGCTGGTGGGGACCTTCCTCGGGCCCGCCCGCGCTACGTCTTTTCGACGCCAGGTCAATTCTGACCCGACTGAGATTCGACTTGAGTCGACGGACGTTCGACGCAGCATCGATGCAGGGATGGCGCGAGTGGCTCCAGGAAGGTACCCCACGCGAGCACCTAACACGAGTGCACGAGGAGGAGAGCGCGCCCTGTACAGCAAACGTGTCGGGCGCATCTTGTCCAGCAACGCTTCGAGCGTTTGCTCGTTTCAGCGTCATCACTTAAGACATGCACGCGGCGGCTTGATGTGTTTTCCATACGTGCCTCCAATGTGTTCAGCACTGATTCACCCCTTTTGCGGCGACAATGCGACGGAATTGTTTGGCGAGTGGCGAGTCGAATGGTGCGCGCACCGTTGGCTTCAGCCATGAGTTTCGCATATGTTGCGTTGAGGGTTTCGCTTGAATCCTCTCGTCGTCATCTTTAAATCGTGGCGGATCATCCCCGTAGCTGTCAACGCCAGCATCAGCGGCTTTTCTTGAAATGTTGCGTAATTCTTGTTGTGACTGTAGCAGTGGACGATGTTGGCCCCACCTCTGCGGGATCCTGTGCCAAGACTCGGCCGCTTATGTTGTCGCAATTCCGCAGCCGTCTCGGCACATGATCGTGGCAAGGGAATTTCGGGTCGCCTTGGCGACAGCCGGCCGCCAGTGAGCCGTCAGGATCCAGGGGAAGATTCTCCCACAGATCCAACGTAAATGCATTAGTCTTAATTCGGGCCTGTCTCCCTACAGGGGGATTTTGGGCGAAAAATGAAAAAAATACACCAAACATGCACCAAACATTGCCAACAATAATGAAAAATCGTCCATGATTATTTTTGGACTATTTTTGAGCTCTCCTCCTGTAGAGGGACAGGCCTGACTTAAGAGTAGTCCTCATGGCTCATCCTGTCAAACCTGTGCATGCCTTCGTCTCCCCCGCGAGGATGATGGACCATCGGGGCTACCTCGCAGTGGGCGGCCGCCCTGCCGGCGAAGCACCGCGGACCGTCAGGCCTCCGAAGAGGAGAAAGGCCGGAGCCCCCCGTTCAGGCAGTGGCGAAGCGTCCTGGCTCGCCTATAGGCCTACCAAATAATGTTCTACGATCCTGTTGTGGTTTCCACGAAATGTTCTTAGAACATTTCTGGCCGGGACTGTCCTGTGTTAACACGTCGGGGTTATGTTCTAAGAACATTGTTTTTGTTCTTATAGAACATGTTTGGGGTTCCCGTGGTATGCCTATAGGAATGCCGGGACGGTCGGTCCCTGCTCAATGTTCATGCGGGAGGCATGGTAGGAGAGAGGCACGATGATCGGAGGAGGAAAAGGTACCCATACTGCTACCCTTCCCTCGTTGTCCCCTCGAGATTCTGGTCAGAACGCGCCCCGGGAGAAGTCCGGGGAGTAGCAGTATCGATACATGTTTTTGATTTCCCCAGATGAGGTGTTCGGTTTGCGGACCTTCTCAGGGCCCACCTCACGGATCTGTTCGGCTCAAGTTCGATTCTAGCTCGACTGTGGCTCGACTCAGGTTCGATTCAAGTTTGGCTCACGCTGGACTCAAGTCGACGGACGTTCGACCCAGCATCGGCGCATAAGTGGAGCGAGTGGCTCCAGGAAGGTCCCCCAATCAAGCAGTCAAGCAGGAGAGAATTCGAGTGGGTGGGCGGAGGAGACACTCCAGTGACCGTCGCGGTGCCTTCTCCCCCCCACGCTCCCGCAAGAGAAGGAGGAAGAGGAGGAGGATGGGAGTCGAGGGCGGCAAAAGAGGAGGGTGGATCATGGCGGCGGCCATGATATCTCCCCCGATTTCATGGCGCCTCTTCTTATTCCGATGCGTACCCCCCCCCCCCTGGACCGCGCACCTGCTGCCGGCCAGGATTTGCGCCCCTCCCCCCTCCCCCTTGGACGCCCCCCTCTTGGACGCCCCCGAGGGGGGAGATGGAGGCCAGCTGGACCGAGCCCCCGGCCTTCCGGCAGAGGCAGAGCGCTCGGGCGTCGCGTCGGCTGGAGGGCACCAGGCGGGCCCCCGCTCGGGGCTGCACAGGGGAGGGGCCTCCTCCTCCTCCTCCTCCTTCCCGGCCTTCCCGCTCCGCGAAGCGGAGCGACGCGCTGTGCGCTTGCAAGGCGCTTGCCCGATCGACCCCGGATCCAGACCGGGCCCTCCCGACCGTGCGGCCGGGAGCCCGTGCTCCACGTGCCGCTCCGCCATCGCCGGCCCGCCATGCCCGCTCGGCCTGGTGCGCCAAGCCTCTCCCCAGTTCCTGAGCGTCAGCGTCCCTCCTCCTCCTCCTCCTCCTCGTCCTCCTCCGCCTCCTCCTCCTCCTCCTCCTCCTCCTCCTCCTCCCCTCCCCTCCTCCTCCTCCTCCTCCTCCTCCTCCTCCTCCTCCTCCTCCTCCTCCTCCTCCTTCCCGGCCTTCCCGCCCCGCGAAGCGGAGCGACGCGCTGTGCGCTTGCAAGGCGTAGCATGTCGCCGGGGCCGCCGCCGCCGCGACACGCTGGGCAAGAGTTCCTGGCCGAAGCATTGGACAGTGAAGCAGCACCCCTGAACTGGGTTGACTCCCCAGTGATCTGGTGACTCGTGCGGCCGCTCGCAGCAGAACCTCGATCCCACAGGCTGAGTCAGGAAGCATGTTGAATTTACACCAGTTCTTTATTTTGCGCAGGGGTGTGACCCTGGCTGAAGTTCCTTGGGAATGCAGCCTTGGACGGTGCAGACCGCTATCGCTTGCCTCTACAAATCCCCTTCGCCCCTTGTGCCGGGCTTTCCCAGACCTTCCCACCCGAAAGGAGGAGCAGGAGGAGGTCATCACGGTGGAGTATGCCGTGCCGGACAGGGCCATCCCTGGCACGCAGCTTCAGGTCACGACCCCGACAGGCGGCAATCAGGTGACGGTAACGGTCCCAGATGGCGCGAAGCCGGGAGACGTGGTAAAGGCGGACGTAAAGATACAGAAGCCGACGCCGGTTCCTGCTCCGCAGCCTGCACGTGGTCGGGAAGGCTCGGGCCACGGCTAGCTGTCCAACCGCTAAGGGCCACGGGGCTGTCCAGAGGAATTTTGGGATGGCCCCGTTGCGACCCACCAGGAGCAGCACAGTTCTCTAAACAGTTTGCCTGGAAGGCTTCCAAATCCAGCTGCCTGCGGCAAACCCCGCCACCGTGCTCGTGCAACAGCGTAGCAGGACACATATGGAATTCCTACGCTCCACGGGGCAGGTGCTGTCTTGTCACTGTGGCCAGGCTGAGCTCGGCGCGCACGTCGCGTTGGATGAACAGCCGTTGCTCGGTCGCTGCTGCATGATACTCTATCGCTCTCTGTTATGTTATTTTCAGATGTGGTTCATTATTGTGGCTAGCTTTACGTCGGCTCGCCTGTTGCGTTTGATAGGGTGCCGTTAATCGGTCGTTGCTGAATCTTACGATATTCAACCATGTTACACTGGTGCATGTTCGGGTGTGTTATACGCGATTATGTTCTGTTCAGTTCACGTTGGGCCAGCGTACGTCGTGACGCCTGTCACAGTATGACACAGGTTCCAGTCGGTCTTTGTTGCGCCTCTTTGTTCCTGCGGCCAGCCTGCTCTCGGCGCGCACGTCGCGTCTGGTAGGACGCCGTTGATCGGTCGTTTATATTATCTAATTACATCCAGCCGCGTTCGATTTTTGATGGTTCGAGCACAGTGTAGTACGTTATGCTATCGTAGGTGTTTTTTGTCGATCGTGTTCTGCTACGATATGTCCTGTTATGTTGTGTTGTGTTCAACCCTGTTATATAACGCACTACGCAACAGTATTTTCTTATGCTGTGTGCTAGTATTATTGCTATCGTCTGTTATGTTGTTCGCGTGTGTGTCGGACACAGTCGCCCGTTTTAGTTACTAAACATGGTACGTTATGATATGTTGATTATGACGTTATCGTTGCACCCGGGTCGGGTGTTAGGTATGACATTTCATTTTGCCATTGGGTTCCACATGTTTATTTGCACGCTTGAGCACAAGGTCACACGGTTGCAGTATACTACATGTATAATGTGTCATGGTTCTTCAGTTGGGTGGTATTGTTTGCTATGTTACGTTAGTGCCAGAGTTGTGGGTGCAGGATATGGTATGTATTGTGGGTATGCTATCTTGGGTTTTGATATGATGTGTTGTATGCGGTTCCTCTTGGTTCGTTATAGTATGGTGTACATGGTTGTCAGAATATACCCTCCATCAGGTATGCGATTGTGTTACTCTATGTGTTTAACCGCTGCCGTATTTACACCAGATGTTAAAGGTTACTCTGTCACGCACCGCAGTGCCACAGTATGTTTTGCGACGATATGGTACGATGTATACATATAACGGCGCACCGGGTCCGGGGGCCCGGGGCCGGGACCCCGACCACAAATGTGGGCTCCGGGGGGCCCGGAGGCTCGTCGGACCGCCGGACGCCGTCCAAGATCGTTCGCAGGCGGCTTCGAAACGCGCTCCGATGGCTCCAGATGCCTTCCAAGACGCCTGTCATGACACCAAGAAGGTCCCAGAAGCCTCCAAGACGCTCCGAGAGGCAGCCCAAGAGAGGCCCAAGAAGCAAAAATCGTGCCATTCCTATGGGAAAACGTATATTTTTCGCATGTTCGCCTCTTGGGTTTTCACCGCGTCCAAGACGGCCCAAGAGGCGCCCAAGACGGTCTACGAGGCCTCCGGGAGCGCTCCAAGGCTGCGCACGAGTGTCCCAGGACGGCCCCAAGACGGCCGAAGAGAGCCCCAAGACGAGTTCGAGAGGGGTCCCAGACGGAGAAAGCCAACCTCGAATTCCGAGCTTCCGGCCCAAGAGGCTCCAGGAGGCGCCAAAATGCCGCCAAGAGGCGCCAAAAGGCTCCCAAAAGCACCCCAAGACGTTCCGAGAGGCACCCCAAGAGAGGTCCAAGAAACAAAAATCGTGCCATTCCTATGGGAAAACGTATATTTTTCGCATGTTCGCATCTTGGGCTTTCACCGCGTCCAAGACGGCCCAAGAGGCCTCCAAGACGGCCTAGGAGGCCTCCGGGAGCGCTCCAAGGCTGCGCACGAGTGGCTCAGGACGGCCCCAAGACGGCCCAAGAGAACCCCAAGACGACTTCGAGAGGGGTCCCAGAAGGAGAAAGCCACTCTCGAATTCCGAGCTTCCGGCCCAACATATCCCAGGAGGCGCCAAAACGCCACCCAGAGGCGCCAAAAGGCTTCCAAAATCAGCCCAAGACGTTCCGAGAGGCACCCCAAGAGAGTCCAAGAAACAAAAATCGTGCCATTCCTATGGGAAAACGTATATTTTTCGCATGTTCGCATCTTGGGCTTTCACCGCGTCCAAGACGGCCCAAGAGGCCTCCAAGACCGCCCCAAGACGGCCCAAGAAGCTTCCAAGAGGGCCCCAGGACAGCCCAAGAGGGCCCCAAGACGGCCCAAGAGGCGCCCAAGATGGCCCA